TATTAAAACTTAGAAGTGATAGAAAAAGTCTAATTGCACATATGAAAGCCTCGAAGAAAGATGATTTAGAAAAGTATATTTTTGTTTCTGATGAAAGTTCATTGTAATCCAGTGTATAAAACGTATAACTATGTTATAAATAACAAACATTTTTTATTGAAAGGTATTGCATCAAGCCCTTCAAATTTTTATACGCGTTAAAAGTAAAGAAAAATCAACTTCTTTATTATTTTTATAATATTTCCGTAAAAAATAACAATAATAAATTATTGAATATGAATTTCAAACTAAATTTAATTATTATAAATTTTATTTATTCATATATGATAATAATAAATCAAATAACTAATCGGGATAAAATTAAGGGGATAAGAGTTATTGTTGTTTTTGAAATAATCTACCTATTTCTTAAAATTAAACACTATCTACAGATTTGTATCGAAGCGTTTCTTATAATAGTGATTTTAATCACTGTCAGATATCATCTATACTTGTCCCAACTACTATACAACTTTCATACTGTGTCGCGACCCTTTTGTTCTACCGTTCATTTTATGTTTATAATAATTTTTTCGAACTTCATCAAAACTTTTAAATAAAACAATATGAAACGAAACATTTTTTTTAATTGGTGCAATTAAACCATCTATTAAATTTTTTAAATTACCATAAATTTACGACATGGGTACAATGAAAGGACAAAACCTGTCATTTTAAAAACACATTTATTAAATATACAAAATGTTCAGTAAGTAAAGAAACAGGTCAATTGTTACAAACCATAAGAACAATAAAACCCGTTTCATTACTTACGGAACCCTTTTTATACTACAGGAAAGGATGTACTAACATAAACATTTACTGTAAAATAGTCATCAAAATTGAAATTTTTTATAAATATAAAGTTTAATAATATTGTTTTACTTTTGATATCTAATATATCCCTAATTTTATTTTAAAAGAAACACATTTGTAGGGTTACTTATATTCTGGGGGCATGTATTTCCTTCCCCCCAAAAAAATGTTTGATAATGAATTCAAATGCATATCAAGTAGATAAAATAATAATTATTTTGTGAAATTCGACTTTTAGACTATTTTTCTCTATATTTTGATAATGGTTTAAGAAAAAAATTGAAAATAACTTTATGCAAAATAAGTATTTTTTTTTTTTCATTTATAATATTTTGTAAATTTCTTGAAATGTTTACGAATGTAACCACGTTTTCAGTTATGAACTGACGTTGCGGACTCTTTGTAGAGTTCATCTTCAGAGCGATAGTTACAGGATCATGATTGTAACTATACAGTACAGTTACATAAATATTTTCAAGCAATACGATAATCTACTAAAGCTTCAACACAATCATATATTATTAATTATTGATTATAGTAAATAATTTTCTAAAAAAAAAATCTGTCTAAGTCAAATTTTGACCGTAAGTTGTCATATTTTAACGTTATTGGATTTGTCACAAATTTTATTGAGATAATTTTTACTGATTAGAATAAAAAAATCGGAAGTCGAAAATTTATCAAATTTATGGCATTATAATATATGTATAAATTTTTGTCACATTTATTTATATGCACATAAACAGATGGAGACATTGCATAACTTTTTTTTTTTTAATATAATAGTATTAAAAACTTTTGTTTAATTTAGCTACAATTTATTTTCATTCTATTTGTTCATCATTAAGTAATAAATAAAATACTGATTCAAGTTTGAATTGTTTTAAAAAAAATTGTTAAATGTGTTTTTTAATACAAATTATTTATTTCTAATACTATTATAATTAAGATATTGTATTACTAGTCATATTATGAGTATTCATAAAATTAATTATTTCTAATCTCACATATATGGAAATCATCAAATAATAGATAAATATAAGGTTGGACATTTTATTTCGAGCGTTTCCAAAAAATTTCTTTTTAGTTTTTAGTAATGGAGCACTCCTTTACTATATATAATTATTTCCAAATAGTTAACATACATAATTTAAATACACTATTAAAATTATCAGAAGAAACAATATAAATTTTCAAAATGTTGGTGTTTTAATCACGCAATGTTAAAAACGTAACAATCTTACACCTCCTCTCAATGTCACATACAAATATAATTTGCACCTGTATACTCGGCTTATTTGCTAATTTTTAATTTTAGTATGGAAATAAAAAACTTTATTAATATCATAATTAGTTTAAAATATATTTTATATACCTTTTTAATAAGAAGATAGATTATATAACTAGTCATATTATAAGTATTAATACAATTTATTTTTAAACCGCTTATAATTTCTAAAAGAAACAATGCACATTTTAAAATTTTTGGTCTTCTAAACACGCAGTGTTTAAAACGTGATAATCCTGCTCCTCTACGCTGTCATATAAATTAATTTTGTTTACTTATCTGCACCTGTTTACTCAGTGGGCATTTTTTGCTAATTTTTTTTTTTAGTATAGAAATAAAAAACTTTATTAATATCATCATTACATTGAAATAAATTTTGTACGACTATTATTTTTTTTAATAAGATTATAGATATAATAAAATAGATTGAGAACTTTTCGAAAATGAAAATGGCAATTATACTAAATATTCAAGTGTACTTATGTATGTTTTTCGCTGTTTTAGATATTGAAGGATTACATAATAAAAAAGAAAAAGCGGCTATCATAAATGATTTTTTACGTCAACCAGGATGGAAAAATATAAATGATGTGGAATTTATTAATTATTGGAGACAAAAATATGAACCGAGAGATTTATTTATTGAACGTGTAACATTATATAATTGCGATAATTACATACGGCAAGCAACGATATTTCTTGGATGTTCTTACTATCATGATTTAAAATTAATATTTTTATCATTAATTAAATTACAAGAACATTGTTTACATCTATTAAATTCTTGCGATGATAGTGCGCACAATTGTACAGTCACACTTTTAACAAAAATGTTTGAAATTATTCCGATGGCAAAATTTATGAAAGGAGCGTTATATGCAATAGAAAAATATCATAATAGTCCCTTGAACACCCTAACAAGAACCCGTTTTATTTTAAGCAGTTTACTAACAAATATACAGGAAGATGAAAGTTTATTGACTACATTGAGAATCAGTTCGGATTCAACTAGAGATGTATTAGAAACAATCGCGAAAATATTATTCGCAAGACGTCTTGAACTTGATGAAGAAAAGTTATTTTGTCAACTAAAATATTTAGATTTTAATTCATTGTGCAATATATGGAATATGGAATTTAATGACTTAAGATATCGAGGAAAATACCAAGAATTTTTCATTTTTCTTAGTGATAAAATAAAAAATTTAATCCTAACGACAATCAGAAAAAAGTATATTGAACTTGGATTTAAATATGATTCGTCCACAAGTGAGACATTTTTACTTGGTTTACCACCTACTAATGTCAAAGAAGGTATAACTATTTATGAAATGTTATTTTTATTTAAAATAATTTGTTGTAAACATATTTAGATATCGCACAAAAGTTTACAATAAATTTTGTACAAAATACCAATGAAGTAAATCCGCAAGAAGAAAATCAGCATTATGGTAACGTTTCTCTAATACTTGACACTACACTATTTTTTAATTTAAATAAGTTTAAATTGATCTAACAATCATTATAATATGTCTAGATCTTACAAAATATCCTTCGATATTACATACCAATGATGTAGTGAATAAAGAAGGTATTCAACAAGAAAGTAATAATTTTGCAATACACTATAATACTTTTATTTTTTTGTGTTATTAGAATTAGGAATCAATATGGTCAGAATTTTTAAAAATGTATACCAAATAAAAGGGCAATACATAAGATTTCAATAAAAAAAAATTATTTTGTTTTATTAATTTTTAATTTAGTTATAGCACGGTTAAGTATGAAAATATTAACACATTAATATTGATTTTTACATAAAAATAACATTTTTCGTTCAATTCGGCAGCCAATTCCCATTAGAAGAAAAGGTGTCGAGAAACATTATTTTTTTGAACTTGTAGAATTTATCATAATCTGTAACTTGATATATTTAAAAGTCGGAGTATTTCCAGAACATTTACAAAAGTTAAGTTGAAAAAGTTCTACTCTTTACTCGTAATTTAAAAAATTAAAACCTCCCCTGTCTAAAGGATAATGGTACGATTTAAAAAAAAAAGTATGTCATATGAAAGGTTTATATATAATTTATTTAGAACAACAATTTAATTAATCCATACATTTTTCGAAAAGTTTAAGTAATATAAAGTTAAAAAATGTTTACACCAAAATTGCATGATTTTTAATGACGGCCACTATTTTCACATAGAAGATAAGTCGACGGGAATTTTTTATTTGACTTATAGTGCATATCATTAGTTATTTAAACATATGTTTGAAGCTAGGAGTATTTTCCGAACATTTTCAAAACATAAGTTAAAAAAGTTTAATGTGCAAATGTTACTAATTACAATTCCCCCTGTGCCAGGCAAAGGGTCAGATTTTCAAAAAAATTATATCAAATGAAAAAGAAATATCTAAGGTTTCATTATAAAACAGAGTTTTTTACATTTGGCAATTTTTCAATAAGTTAAGGTAATATAAAAAAAAAATGTTGAAATTTACTGATTTTAAAAATAGTAATTTTCGGGGGATTTTCACCATTTACGGAAAACGAAAGAAAAATTTTTAATTTTTAAGGGTAATATCTTCAACTATATACTTTTTGTGATCTTTTGACGTATTGTTTAAATAATCGGTCCAGTGAAAGCTGAGAAAAATAAGTAAGAGACACAAAAATATCAAAAACAATATATAAACACATTATGGTAAAATTAATATCTTCTCAGATTCGCATCGAATCTAAAATTGAATTGTAACTTTTCGAAAACCAAAATGGTATTAATAATTAATATTCAAGTGTACTTATGTATGATTTTCGCTTTTTTACATACTGATGGAACATTTACTAAAAAAGAAAACGCGGTCATCATAAATGATTTTCTACGTCAACCAGGTTGGAATAATATAAATGATGTTGAATTAATTAAGAATTGTGGCAAAAACTATGAACTGAAAAATTTATTTATTGAACCTGTAACAATACATAATTGTGATAATTTCATACGGCAAGCAACAATATTCCTTGGATGTTCTTACTATCATGATTTAAATTTAATGTTTTTATCATTAATTAAATTTCAACAACATTGTTCTGATCTATTATATTCTGGCAATGATAGTGTGTATAATTGTACAGTCACACTTTTAACAAAAATTATTGAAATGGTTCCATTGGCAAAATATATGAAAGGAGCTTTATATGCAATAGAAAAATATCATATTAGACCCTTGAACACCCTGAAAAAGACCCGTTTTATTTTAAGCAGTATACTATCAAAAATACAGAAAGATGAAACATTATTGACTGTGTTGAAAAACAAATCGGATTCCATTAGTGAAATATTAATGACTATCGCGAAATTATTATACGCAAGGCGTTTTAAACTAGATCGAAATAAGTCATTTTGTGTACTAAAACAATTAGATTTTAATTCATTATGGAATTCATGGAATATAGAATTCAATACATTATTTTACGAAGGAAAATATCAAGAACTCTTCATTTTTCTTAGTGATAAAATTAGAAAATTAAACATAACGATAATCAGAAAAAAGTATATTGAACTTGGATTTAAATATGATTCGTCCACAAGTCAGACATTTTTACTTGCTTTACCATCTACTAATGTCAAAGAAGGTATAACTATTTGGAAATGTTATTTTTATTTAAAATAATTTGTTGTAAACATACTTAGATATCGCACAAAAGTTTACAATAAATTTTGTACAAAATACCAATGAAGTAAATGCGCAAGAAGAAAATCAGCATTTTGGTAAAGTTTCTTTAATACTTGACACTACACTATTTTTTAATTTAAATAAGTTTAAATTGATCTAACAACCATTTTAATATGTCTAGATCTTACAAAATATCCTTCGATATTACATACCAATGATGTAGTGAATAAAGAAGGTATTCAACAAGAAAGTAATAATTTTGCAATACACTATAATACTTTTATTTTTTTGAGCTATTAGAATTAGGAATCAATATACTCATCCATAATACGTTGTCCATATTTTATGGAAAACTACAATATGTACTCATCGATTTGTACGAAAGTTAAAATAGTTTTAAAATAATAGAATAATTTTTATTCTATACATTATTATTATAAATGCTTTAATTCTATGAACTGGTTATAAACAATAAAATAAGTATAAATTAGAACTAGAAATTCAGCAACATGGTAAAGTTTCTCTAATACTTGACACTACATTATTATTTAATCTAAATAAGTTTAACTTGTATGTAAAAATTGTAATTTAGAATCTCTCCCTGTGTGAAGATAAATGGTCAGATTTTTTAAAAATGTATGTCAAATAAAAGGACAATACATAAGATTTCAATAAAAAAAATTATTTTGCTTTATTAATTTTTAATTTAGTTATAGCACGGTTAAGTATGAAAATATTAACACATTAAACAGTTAAATAAAAATAATTTAATAATTAATAAAAATTTAAATAAAAATAATATTTTTCGTTCAATTCGGCAGCCAATTCCTATTAGAAGAAAAGGTGTCGAGAAAATTTTTTTTGTTGAACTTGTAGAATTTATCATAATCGTAACTTGGTATATTTAAAAGTCTGAGTATTTCCAGAACATTTACAAAAATTAAGTTGAAAAATTCTACTCTTTACTCGTAATTTTAAAAATTAAAACCTCCCCTGTATAAAGGAAAATGGTATGATTTTAAAAAAAAAAGTATGTCATATGAAAGGTTTATGTATAATTTATAAAATAAGTATAAATTAAAACTAGAAATTCAACAACATGGTAAAGTTTCTCTAATACTTGATAGTACTACTATTTTTTAATCTAAATAATTTTTAAATTGATCTAACAACTATTTTATTATGTCTAGGTATTACAAAATATACTTCTTTACTACATACGAATGTTGTAGAGATAAAAGAAGACATTAAACAAGTAAGTAATAATTTTATAATGCAATATAATACTTTTATTTTTTTTATAATATGCTATTATAATTAGGAAGCAATGTAACTACAAAATTTACTCAGCGATATGTACGAAAGACAAAATAATTTTAAATTATATTCTATATATTATTATTATAAAACGCTTTAATTGTATTAACTGGTTGTAGACAATAAAATAAGTATAAATAAGAACTATAATAAGTTAAAAGGTATTTTTATTAATTTTTTTTTTCATAATAATCTTTATTGTTTTATGCCTGGACCAGTGACCACTCCTTCTGGCTTCTCAACATTAGGTCCACCACGGACCTCACGCCGAACGCGGACACCGAGCGGTACTCCAACTCTTCTCGCTTACTGGTCTACGACTCGCACCGGAAGAGCGTATGCTATGCATTGTTTCCAACACGTCCGCGTCCAGCTGACCCGAAGCCAGTGGACCACGGTGCTTCTGCATGACGACCCGTTAGAGTTTCCCCTACGGGTCGTTGTCCACCGATTTCACAAGTTCAGCCCAGCACTTCGCTTTGGCCCACCTGATGGTGAGCTTCAGCTCTTTGCGGGCTGACCTCAGCGCCTCCCTTGGGTCCGGGGATTCTGGGTCCCTCGACCAGGGGGTGGACGTCCCGCTCATGGATTCCATGACGTATCTGGGCCTGGTCTTCGACAGACGTCTGATGTTCGGGCCGCACATCACCCGTGCGGCCCAACAGGCCCAGAAAGTCATGGACAGCCTGGCGGGGCTCATGCCCAATCTGGGAGGACCGAGGGAGATGCGGCGCAGACTCCTCGTCAGCGTCGTTCACTCGGTCCTCCTGTACGGGTCCCCGGTCTGGGCGGATACCCTCGAGTATTCGCCCAGGAACCGCGAAGCCCTGCTCCGGGTGCAGAGGCGGGCGGCGATCCGGACCGTGTCGGCTTACCGAACGGTCTCCGGAGTGGCGGCGGGAATACTGTCGTCACTGCCGCCCGCCGACCTGCTAGCCGCGGAACGGGCCGCCGGACATGAGCTCCGCCGAGAGCGCGACCGACCCCTCGAACCCGAGGACCGGTTGGCGCTCCGGCGGACCACCATGCTCCGGTGGCGGGCTCGCCTCTCGGAGGAAACGAAGAGAGGCGAGTGGACCAGGTCCCTCATAGGACCCGACCGCCTGGAGAGGTGGGTGGCCCGGACACACGGTGAGATGTCTTACCGTCTCACGCAAGTGTTGTCCGGCCACGGCTGCTTCAACGAATACCTTCACGGTATTCGGAGGGCAGCCGCGCCGACGTGCGACCACTGCCAGGATCGCCCGGGAGAGGCAGACAACGCTCTGCACACCCTCTTCCGGTGCGAGGCGTGGGCCCAGGAACGGGACTCGCTGGAGTCCCGTCTGGGGTCCACGATCCGCGTCGGGTCCTTGGTGGACCTCATGTTGGGAAGCCGGGAGGCGTGGAGGCTCGTCCAGGCGTTCGCGGAATCCGTCCTGAAAAGGAAGGAGGAAGCCGAACGCCTGAGGCAGCGGCAGCCGCGCCGCCCGGTACAGGAGGACCTAAGGCGCTGGTTTAGGCCGG